CCTGAAATCCAGGGAGTCACTCTGTTTTTTACTTCTCTCCCACCCAGTCCCCTGCATGATGCATAGCTCTAACTTGATACTGCTTACTCACCAGAGACCTGACCCGGCCATCTTCATTGCATACTTGCTAGGAATCTAATATTTTACAAGACAGTCCTGGTATGTACATGGAGGATATTGCACAGTACAACTTCTTTAGTTATACACGCTGGATATAATTCTGTTTTTGTTTTTTGTATGTAAACATGACACAGTGCCATTGTGTCTTCTGTATGTAATTTCTTAGTATCTGTCATTCTGTCTGTATGGACTGTGCTCATTAGTACATCTCTCATTCTATTACCTGGGTGTAATTCTCATTATCTGTCCTTATTCTGTCTGTAAGGACTGTGCTTAGTAACATTTCTCTCATTCTATAGGCTGGGTGTAATTCTCATTATCTGCCCTTATTCTGTATGTATGGACTGTGCTTAGTAGTACTTCTCTCATTCTATAGGCTGGGTGTAATCCTCATTATCTGTCCTTATTCTGTCTGTATGGACACTGCAGTGTATCACTTCTGCAGGCCTGTATGCTTGGCTTTAGTACATCTGCACAGACACTGCAGGTACCAATTTGCTTACATTCTTGTAAGTAAATCCAGAAAGTAAGGAAAAATTTCTTAAAGGAGTCAGTAATCCTTCCATACTCTATCCAAAACTACAAGAAAAAGAAGTGTTGTCTATACAGACACTCTAAACCTGCACGTGCAGAAAATCAGAGGTTGTCATTGATGATCTCTTAAAAATGGTTGTTTCTTTTATAAAATGTGTGACTTTGACTGCAATGCAATTGACACTTTAAAGTTCCTCTTCCCGTTCAATGAACCTTCAGCATACCACATGCTTTCAGGAGTGTTGAATGTCTGGTCCCCCGCTGTGCACGGTTTTGCTACATCACTACTACACAGAACCAAGCACCAGACACTCCTGGAGATGTGTTGGTCGCTGAAGATCCTCTGGCTGGCCTAGCTCTGGTTCACACCTGGGTGTTTTTCAGGGCTGATCAAAGCGCTGAAAAACGCTCAAACAGTGAAACCCCATACTTCCCTATGCGGATGGTTCCCACCTGGGCGTATTTCAGCCCGTGGAAACGCGCTGAAAAACGCCCTACGACCAAACAAGTAAGAGCAAAGATCCAAGGTGCAGGGAGGGGGACAGGTAAGTATTATACCTCTTCCATCACAAGGTTCTCTCTTTTAGGACCCATTCACAAATCATGTGTCGTGCTAACATGTGCTTCTCTTTCTGTGATTAACTGCATAGAAATGCATGAACTGAGGTGCGTTACCAAGTGGCATCTCAATGCACTGTTACAGTAGCAAGCAAGTAATGCACCCACGCTGCAAGGGCACAATGCATAGCCTGCGTTTAGCAAAAGTCCTATTTCTTGCGCATGAAGGAATTCTGCCAGCCAATCACAACGAATGGGCGGCCTTAAAGTGACAGGAAAGCTAAACCTTTATTTTACTTACAGTTTTGGATCTGGTGGAGAGGGATTAAGAGACCTGTCAGGTCTTTATTGCCGTCTGTGTCCCCGTTATGGAGATTCACCCTCTCTATTTGTCCTGGCGAATTATCACAGGAAGGAAAGAAAATGCCACATTTTGGGTCGTCATCAGAACAGGAATAGAGGGGAAATCTGTCAATGGGGACACTAGCTCTGGTGACCCTACTAAGCACCGGGGACTTCCCACTATTTGGAGAGATCTCCTATCGCTTCCTGTTGTGGCTATCAGACAGGAAATAAAGGAAAAGCTCCCCAATGGGACACAGATGGCAAAAGAAATAAAGCTGACAGGGGTTTTATGTTTTGGCTTTGATTTTACTTTAATGCAGTGTGCCTCCAAGCAGAATTTTTCTTAACCCTTGCAGTGGGGCTACCACAGTACTGCAAAGGTTAAGTGCTCAATTTTGCCTAGGTGCTAAACAAAAACATTATACTCACCCAAACTGTTAAGCCGGCTGCCTGCTTCCCCGGTCACTGAAGCCCCTGTCCTCCTACGCTGCAGCATTGGAATGTTGCTCAGCGTCTTCATGTCTATACACATTATATAGAACGTGATGAATTACCGGACCTTAGAGCGCTGCAGCGGACAGAGAGAGAAGCTTCAGGGACTGGTCTAAGAGCAAGCTTGGGTTAGTATAACTTTTTTTTTAGCACCTACATAAAAGGAGCACTTAACCCTTGCAGTGTGGAGGAAGGAACACTGCAAGGGTTAAGAAATATTCTGCCCGGAGTCCTGCTTTAAAGAGGAACTCCATTAATTTTAAATACATACCACTGTAGTGGGGCTACCCCCACACTGCAAGGGTTAAGTGCCCATTTTGTCTAGGGGAGGCAGATAAAGCAGATATAGTTGCCTGAACCTCAGTCCCACTGGGCTGCTAGACCAGTCCCCACAGCTTCTTTTCGAATGGGCTGCAGCGATGTAATGACAGCTAAGGCAAGTCTCTCGCTTTGCATTAGTCAAGGGACATTCCACAGCCGGAGAGAGGTAAGCATTAACCGATGTGGGGCCTCGGATGTACGCAGCTACTTGCAGAAAGCCACACATGCATACACCCCTGGGTGCAGAACGTTTATGGCTAGGGGTGTAAGGCTTTGTGCTGTTGAAGCTTAATGCAAGCAGTGGCATAACCTGGCATACAGCTACCTACACCCATTCACGACCTATGGGCGGCTGTGCGCTGCAGCTGCGTATCCCAGACGCAGAAATACATCCGCATGCATGATGCCTTAAACATGATCACAGACAAACCACACAGAAAGTTCCGTTCATTTTCCGGAGGTGGTGGTCTGCTAACCCTGGGCCTAGTTTCAATGGCATCCCTTGCTGACCGAAATACATGTACATGCCGCTTCCCTGGCTGCCATTTCTAGTCCCATACTGGAACACAAGCCAGGTATACATTCTTCAGTCACTGTATACATGTTCCAGGTCAGAGACATCAAACATAGAAGTCAGAGGATCAGTATGACTGCCAAAGAATGAGGTCAGCAATGGCAGCCCCCTCATTTCTCTGCTACTCCACTGAATAATTGTGTACAATACAACATTCCAACGCCCCAACTTCCAGATGATTCTCAGGACCTGCAGCATGACTCTATGCAAGGAAAGGGTGGCCTGTTATATAATAGAGCCTCACATTCTAGAATATTCATCTGGAGGCAGGGACACAAGCCTGCCCTGAAGGAGAGACACATCGCTCCAGAAGGCCATGCGTGCCCTTATTAACACCAAACAAGGACCCACCGCAGGCAGCCGGTAGCACTGTCTAGACGGGCGGGGGGCGTCAGGCGAGTCCCCGGCTCCAGCTCACAGAGCAGGCCACATCGAGCAGCTGATTGGAGGGGGGAGGAGAGGAAAAAGCACGTAGCTGCTGGCCAGGAGGATTCCATTAACCCCATAGAGTCAGCGGCCTTTTACCGACAGTATGCACTTTACATAACTACCAACACACCGTTTATAGGTGACAGCACACTTCCCAAAGCCCGCTGATCACTGACAGCCTGGGTCAATAACTGAACGCCGCCGTGAGGGGAGTCCACCGACCTCTGTAAACACCCGTCGGCGCCTCCCTCAATACCAGATCATCGATCAATCGGCACCACCACGATATGGCCTACGGATAAGTCCTCATCAATGCACACTATATGGCCTATAGATCAGTGCTCATCAATGTACTCTACATGGCCTATAGATCAGTGCTCATCAATGAACACTATATGGCCTATAGATCAGTGCTCAATGTATACAGCATGGCCTATAGATCAGTGCTCATCAATGTATACAGCATGGCCTATAGATCAGTGCTCATCAATGTACAAAGCATGTCCTATAGTTCAGTCCTCGTCAATGTATACAGCATGGCCTACAGATCAGCCCTCATCAATGCACACTATATGGCCTATAGATCAGCCCTCATCAATGCACACTCTATGGCCTATAGATCAGTGCTCATCAATGCACACTATATGCCCTACAGATCAGTGCTCATCAATGTACACAGCATGGCCTATAGATCATTGCTTGCCATGTACACAGCATGGCCCATAGGTCTCATCAATGCACACTACATGGCCTATAGATCATTGCCATGACCTTTAATTGTCATCATTGCACACTATATGGCCTATAGATCAGTGCTCATCAATGTACACAGCATTGCTTATAGATCAGTGCTCATCTCCACTATATGGTTGATAGATTATTGCTTGCCATGTACACAGCATGGCCCTTAGGTCTCATCAATGCACCCTATATGGATCGTTTCTCATCATGGCACACCATATGGCTAATCAGTTCTTATCAATGTACATTATATGGCCTATATAGATCATAACTCATTAAGGCACACTGTACGGCTCATCAATATCATATAGATCAGTGCTGATAAATGCGCACTGTATGACCTTTAGATCAGTGGTGATCAATTCCCAATCACACATGAGATCACCTGCGGACTAATCCCAGCTTTCACATATGACACATCACCAAGTACATAGCCAGCAGAATGAAGTGTGCTGGCGCTGGAGGAGGAACTTTGACAATCGCTACAGAAGACAAGATGAAAATGTAACATCGTACAGCAGCTTCCATCGGGGGAAGTGAGAACTGTAACAATGTATCAGAATGCAGGTCAAAAGGCTGAGCTATCACAAGGCATCAGTGACTGATCCTGACAATCTACCCGGACCTGAGTATCAGAAGACACATCCCAACACAGCCATAGATCCAATGCTAAATAAAGTGTTTTATACATACAGCATGGATGTCCACCCAGCCATTATCAGCTAGAAACACATGATCTCCATACACAGGGTGACACATGCAAGCCACGACTCCCCCCTTCCCCGGGGGCCATCACCACCAGCAACACATGTACATTTCCATTGCAGTACATCCCTCCCAGCACCCTTTACCCCCAGTGATCGCATCCCATCCTCCACAAGCGGACCTGTTTTCTTCTGGTGTGCTTCCTGATGTTGTAGGGCGTGTTTGTTGTCATGTTTTATCGCCTTTGGCTGATATTTAACGTTGCCCTCTGCTCCATGCTGCACGCTTGGGGTGTAGTAGTAGTAGGTGCTGTGTGAAGGCTGTGAGTGGAGGTGGTGGTGATGATGGTGGTGGTAGTTGTGGTGATGATGGTGGTGGTGGTGCTGCTGGCCAGGCTGCTCCTCCATTGAAAGTGTCTGGGCTCCCCCTGTGCTGGATCCAGAGCACAGAGCCCCCTCTCTCTAGATGGGAGAGTGCAGATGTGCCTCTTTCACTAGGACAAGCCGGTTGGCTTAGGGACTTTCTAGAAACGATTGACTGTTTGTCTCCAGCAATCAGGGATCTCCAAGTCCCTCTCCTCCCCTCCCTCTGCCCCCTCCATGCATCCACTCCCATGTCTCTCCTCCCTGCACAACTTTGCTTCTGCAACCTCACAGGGCTGGGCTTCAACGTCAGCACTATGACTACTTGTATGCCACAGCACTCTGTACAGGCAGCAGACACACAGCAAAACTCTCCCACTGCAGTACACAACAGGCAGACTGAATCCCTGGAATCCGCAAATCCTTGTCCTAGATCGTCATTAGAAATCCTTTTGTTGTAATGGCAGAACGTGCGACACATTAATGCGTCTGTCGCAGGTATCTCTCCTGCAAAGTTGGGGGAGTTAAAGCAGAACTGGGGGCACACACAGATCCCTCTCTGGCAGATCTGCATACATATAAACACTGAAGCTAATCTGCATGCAATCACACAATGCAATTTCATACAGATTAACAGTGAGGTCACAAGCATGCGTACAGACACTCGTAACAATGACCAATGTCTCTAGGAGGATGAATTCGAAGTTTAGTACATAGAGGGACAATTATTTTATTATTGGGGGAGTTTGTCAAAAGGACAATCGTATGTCCAAACTCATCGGTTCCGTTCAAAAAGTTGGGTGCCGGCCGACAGAGGCACACCACGGCCATCACTAAATCCAAGGTATGTAAAGCTGCACTCAACAGCCAGGACCTGGATGTAAAAAAGTTTATTCCCAGGAATCTATAACATTGCAAACATAACAAGATCCATAGGCTCAGATGTTATGCTTGGAACGTTTTAGATTCCTGGGAATACACATTTTTGCATCCAGGTCCTGGCTGTTGAGTGCAGGCTTAACATACATTTGATTTATAGTCGGGGGAGTTAAAGAAGAACTCAGGTCACAAATGTTATCAGCCCTTACATTGGGGCTACCCTCGCACTGCAAGGGTTAACTGCTCATTTTTGTCTAGATTTAAAAATATATATATACTCACCTGATCTTTGGAGTTGTCTGGTTCCTAGATCGATCCCTCCCGCCTCGCTCCCCCACCACTGCAGCCGTCTAAAGCTGGCCATACACTGCTTAGATTTTCAAAAGAAGTTTCATACGAAAGAACATTCGTTCAACTTTCTATGAGTCGATTTCAAACCCAGTGATGAAAAAACTCGAAGGAGCTGGACCGAAAATTTTTCTCGAATGAACAAAATTCTAACAGTGAGTGTGGTTTTCATTCAAGAAACTCAACTCATTCCAAAATCGAATGATAAAATCAAATGAACTTTTGTTTGACATTCGTCAAGTGTGTGATGGCTTTATTGGGTGGTAAAGAAAGATCTTTTGTAAGAAAGTTTGTTCGGAAATCTACTAGTGTATGGCCGGCTTAAGCACCCTGAGTCATCATGTTCTGTATACTGTGTATGGGATGTGAGGACACCAAGGGGTAAGACTGACTTGTAAAACATCTGTCTGATGTGGAACGGAATTTAAGGCAGCCTTACGCGACCCCCGGGGTCCTACTCTGCATATGTGAAAGCTGGGTGGGGGGGTCAGCACCAGGTAAGTGCCATCCATGCCTGCAGGTGCCCAAAATGGAAATCCGGCCATGAGGGAAAGAGACACAAAGCCCACTGGGAATCCAGAAAGTTGTGAAAAGTGATGGGCAGACAGAAGGCAACACTCACTATATAAAAGGGATTTCTTCAAGCTTTGATTGCATTATCAAAAACAACTCTAGTATGTATTCCTATAAGGCTGGGCACACACCTTACAACCCTTGCAAGACTTTTGTCTTGCGAGGGTTGTAAGGTAATTAAAAAAAACTTATGATCTGCCTATCTTGGACAGGCAGGTCGTACTTGCGTTGATCGCAAGCCGCGCCCCCCTGAGGGGCGGGCTGCCGATGACCGCAATGCCGAACGGGCAGTGTGCGCTTGCGCATACCCGCCTGTCCGGCTTTTATCTTACGAACATGCTACACACCCGCCGAACATCGTACGATGCTCGCCGGATTTTCAAACATGTTCGTAAGTTAAAAGTCGTAAGGTGTGTGGAAGCCGTGCGACCTCTACTACTGTAAGGTCGCACAGCTTCCACACACCTTACGATGATCGTACGATCGTGGGATTTCCCGCGATTATCGTACGATTATCGTAAGGTGTGTGGGCACCTTTACAATGCTGATGCTATAACAGGAGAGTATATGCTGGGAGTTTTAAAAAAAATCCTCATTAAGCCTGCAAAAAATGCTTGATTCCCCCATCCACACTGTTTAGCATGGATGGGGGAATCTTTCCTGCAAGGCTTTTGTATTCTGACAGCAGTGGGTGTGCCGCTGTCAGAATACCAGAACACTGACTGCAGCTGTTCAGCTGACAATTTTCAGCCATGCTCCTTTGACAACATTTGAATGTAGTGGTGCCAATAGGGTCACCCACAGCTCAAATTTTCTGTCTGAAGGCCAAAATTCAAGCAGTGTATGGCCATCTTAATGAAAACATAATAAATATCAGTTCCAGAGGAACCTAAAGGGTATGTAGACCCCAGCAATGAACTCGGTTCATTCAAGAAGATAACACAGTGGTGGGACACACACACACCTACAGCTGTCACTGACTCCCGATGTCCCTGTAGTAGAAAAAGGACACCTTGTAAAAGAGTATGGTGCATACTTACATGGTGGCACTGCTACTATCCAAAAGTATTCTTTGCATACAATGGAACATGTAAAACAAATTTGAATGTTGTATAAGTGAAAATGAAGACAGCTTTGACTAGGGAATGCAGCTATGCCTAGAGAATGCACTCCGATTTATTCTTAGTGACCTCACAATACAGTATTATTGGCAACATAAAAACATTTTCATTTTAATTTAACACATTATTATTATTATACAGGATTTATATAGCGCCAATAGTTTGCACAGCGCTTTACAATAATTCAACACATTCTTCAAAACCCTGCACAAGCATACTATCCAGATAGTTCACAGAAGTATTTATAAAGTCATTAAATTACTCCTGACAGAAATGAAGAGTTTTACCTTGAAGCTGAACTCCAGCCTTACCTTCAGTCTTGCACAGTTGTACAGGCTCCTTTTCTGTACTGAAATGCTTATTCTGATTTGACTGCATACTGTGAACTTCTCACCGTGTGCATTAGAAGCTGCATCAAGTCAGATAGAGCCTGCTTCTTTTTCCAGAATCATCTAGCTCTTTCTTCCCCAGCCTTGCTGTCCCTGGCCCGTCAGTTTTATTCATTGGATTTCACTTCAATCATGGATGCTCAGGATCACATGTTGGCATTACCTAGGGCAGTTTAATGTTTTCAGGAAGCTATGTACAGCCATTCCCACTAGCCATGAGCTGCCTGCATTATAGAGAAGTATAGGGACCCAGTGGGACCAGTGGCGGAACTACCAGGGTCGCAACAGTCGCAGCCGCGACCGAGCCCTGGAGTTGTTTTGCTTTAAGAAAAGGTGGCAACCCTAATCAGCTCATCTCCCGGGTGAAAGGGGACCAGGGCTGGATCTAGCAAAAAGCTGAGGGTGCCGGGAAGGGGGGCGGGCGGAGTTTTGACCTGTGAGGCTGTAAAATCCATGCATTGGCCCTGGGCCCCTCGTCTGGACATCCGCCTCGCTCTACCATCACTAATCAAAGTTCAATTAAAACATTTTCATTGTGGTTGTAAGTGGGGCCTCTGGACCAAAATAAGTATGTAATATGTATGTAATAAAAATGGAAAGTAAGAATGTAATTAGCATGTTGATATAGGGGGAGGGATAATCCAAGGAAGGCAAAATATAAGCAGATTAAACTTCAGCTTTAAATGCATTGGTTTAAAATAAAAGTGAAGTTTTGCGAGCGTATGGGTGTCTACTAAACCCCAACCATTTGTCTACCAAATAAACCTTGGCATGTATAAATATGTAACTGTACACATAAACACATACAATTGCACAATGAAACCCACATGTTTAGAATTCTTTTGAAGTAACTTCATGGTGTTTAACTTCACCGAACTACATTTTTAGAATAAGGCAGGAGATTGCAGCTTAAATAAAAACCACAAAATAACTACACAGCACAAAACACGCAACAGAGATCGCAAGACTGTAACTTGCATGTCACACTATAAAATGCAGTTATACCCATGGCTAGATCAGTCATTGCCCTGCATTTGTTTCCAGAAAAGCGGAACTCCAAGCAATATGTGTTTCTAGTTTTGGATAGAGTAGAGAAAGGTTATATCCCTCGTCAGGGTTTTATTGCTGACTGTGTCCCTGTTGGGTAGATTGCATTTCTTCTCAGTGCCTGTCCCAGTGACATCCAAAGTATTGCTGAGAGTGGAACTTGCAGTTTCCTTTTTCTTTGTACTCTATAAGGGTTATTTACTAAAGGGTGATGACTTTGGAGAAGGCAGGAGAAGTGAACAATCTAGGACAACATAACTGATTTGGAAATATTCTCCAATTCAGTTCACTTTCCAGCTCAGCTATGTTGTCCTAGATCAGGGGTGCCCACAATTTTTTGTCTTGAGATCTACTTTTTAAAGGACAAGCTCATTGAGATCTACCAGTGAAAAAACACCTTTATTTAAAAAAACAAGCACATTCAAATTGTTACTGGAACTACTGCCTCTCTCTCTAACTCTCTCTCTATCTCTCTGCTGTCTCTTCTCTCTCTTTCCTCTGGCTGTCTCTTCTCTCTCTCCCATCTGGCTGTCTCTTCTCTCTCCTGGCTGTCTTTCCTTACCTGGTCTCCTCTCATGTGCGCTGTTCTGTCTCCCTGCAGTGTTCGTTTGGCTGAGTGTGGCCGACGCCACAGACTGGGAGGGGTGTCCCACGCTTGTGATAACTTGGCTGACACTGCAGACGGGGAGAGGTGTCCTACCCCTTCCTGTCTGCAGCATCTGACAGATTCAGCCGCACTAGCACAGAGGGAGGAAGCTCAGGACAGTGAGCCAATCGTGATCTACCAGTGT